CCCCAAAACCCCAAAACCCCAAAACCCCAAAACCCCAAGTATTCAAAAATTATTTGAATTTTTAAATTATTAAACTAAATCAAAAAGTACCAAGTATGCATTGGAACGGCAAACACCGTGTACTAAATACAATGAGTGGGGAAAGCCAAAGATCCTTCTCTTCCAAAAACTCTATTATGAAAATTAACGTACCAAGAGGTCATTCTGGCTTGAGATCTGGCAATTTCATTGCTAGTAAAATCAAGACAAAAGGGACCTGAGAAGAGAATAACATCCAAAATAATGATAATCACACAAATATGTATGAACCGCCTTCCACTACTTCCATAAATATTGATGGGTTTAATAATGCGAGTAATAAGTACAAGGAGGATCTGAAGCAACACAACACTTTCTCAACGACTTCCTTGAATAAATAAGAGCAAAGCTAAGAACACATGAGTGAGAGGGACAATGCTGAAAAATAATCCGCTCAATGTAATCAGGAACAATCCTAGTACTTCAGATATGTTTCATTGAAATCAGCCAATGAGTCATGGAGATCCTCCAAGTTCTGACAGCCAAAGAAATTCAAATAGAATGAATTATAAGTCCTCAAAGAACGACAATCTGATTGCAAAATCAACAAATTTGAGCAAAAACAGGAGCAATAGTGGAATTCGAAATACTGCCTATTTAAAAAGCCATCAACTTTACCTCCATTCTAATAATCAAGCTAAACTTCAAAATTATCATAGCTCGATGCAAATTTCAAGTAATTAGAGGAAATAATTCTAACAAGAGATTTTACCAAGGCAGGAAGATGTCAGTAAAGAATATATCAGTAAACCAGATGAAAGGAGTCAGTAACTCTGAAAGAGAAGACACTCACCCTCTTGCAGAGCGCTCTCAAAATTACTCCAGCTTCCACACCAGCAAAGGTGCTCCGTTCAGACAAAGTTACACTGGAAGTTCGAGCATGAGCAGGCGCCAAAAAGCAAGCGGCAAAGAAAATGTGTCTCTGAACGCTATCAAGATTGCCAGGAAAGACATCAGAGGCATCGCTTCAAGGTGCAACCTCTCCAAGTCTAGAAGCAACCGCAGCGGCTCCCTCAGTCAGAGCAAGTCAATCTCCAGGAGGAAAGTCAAAAGGTCCAGTGACAAATAAAGCAGCTCGATTTAGCGAAAACATCAAGGGGCTTAGCCAGATGAAACAAGACGTAGAAATGGAGGATGAACAGCCCTATGAGATATCCGATAAAATTTTCAACCACGGACTCTCTGTTCGCAATGAAGAAGCTGAACCAGACGAAGAAATGGAAGATGTCGAAGCTCCAAAGCCTCCGAGCAAGCAAGAATTCAAAGTCGAGAAACCTATGACTGATGAAGAAAAACTTGAGTACTTCCACTCCTTCGTAGTCAAAGCATCCAAGAAGGATATGATCGAAGAAGACTTGAAGACCTCCGATGATCCTCTGGAGTGCTCCGAATACGTGGTTGAAATCTTCCAACACATGAAGAGAACTGAGCTTGAGTTCATTGCAAGGCCAGGCTACATGAAGAACCAGAGCGACATCAACGAGAAAATGAGAGCCATTCTGATTGACTGGCTGATCGAAGTCCATTTGAAATTCAAGCTCTACCCAGAGACACTCTACCTCACAGTAAATTTAATTGACAGGTATCTCGAAAAAGAAGAAGTCATGAGGCAGCATCTCCAACTCGTCGGAGTCACAGCCATGTTGATTGCGTCGAAGTACGAGGAGATCTACGCACCAGAAGTCAGGGACTTCGTGTACATCACTGATAAAGCCTACACCAAAGAAGAAATTTTGAAAATGGAGTATAAAATTCTTACTACTCTAAATTTCAATACAACTACTTCTTCAAGTTACCGCTTTCTCGAGCGGATCTACAAATTGTGAGAAAATGCAGATGACAAAGTGTTCACGCTCAGCAGGTACTTTCTGGAGCTTTCTCTGGTAGAGTACCGGATGCTCAAGCACTACCCGTCCATGCTGGCCTCTGCTGCTCTGTTTTTGTCGATGAAAATCCTGAAGAAGGAGTTCTCTCCCTGGACGGACAAACTCAAAACGGCGACTCAGTTCTCGGAGCAGCAAATTCGGCAGTGCGCGAAGGATCTATGCGTACTTCTGAAAAACATGGAGACGTGTTCGCTGAAGGCAGTGAAGAAGAAGTTCTCTGAAGTGTCTAATATAAAGCTTCGCTAGCCCACTCACCATAATTATGATTTATCAGAATTATTATCATCTTACTATTTTATCTTTAAAAGAGGGGTTTTGGGGTTTTGGGGTTTTGGGGTTTTGGGGTTTTGGGGTTTTGGGGTTTTGGGG